ATTAAAAACATATTTATGACTTTGGAAAATGCTAGTAGGAGAATTTCTTTCCCATCCAAACATCATGAACCTGATTTTAATGTCGTCTTTCTGTTGAAGCTTAGAAATATGTTACCAAAAAAACTCCAATATAATAAAAGAAGTTGCTTCATTTCAACTTGAGGTTTTAAAATTGACACTCAGATCCTGATTAACTATTATGATGATGATGGAGATTAATATTTCTGTTATTATGTGACACAAAATCTTAACCTTTAAACAGTTCAGGTTCAGGATTTTCCTCTTCTAGCTCCTCCTCTCCCTCTATCTCTCTCCTCACTGCTCCTCCTGCTGCTCCTCCTGCTGCTCCTCCTGCTGCTCCTCCTGCTCCTCCTGCTGCTCGGCCCAAAGAGGAGCTCGCTTTGACTCGGCTTTTTCCTCCTTATCCTGTTTTCCCTTTAGTAAAGAAAATTAATCCAGTCTAAAGCTGAACTGATAGAATCAATAAGCATTTCAACATCATGTTTCAATGAGTTTTATTTGTCATTTTAACAAATTAACATGAAATTAAACTCATTTAGTTTCCTGGTAAAATAGTAAAACTGGCTATTAATGAGGATAAATATTAAACAAACCAGATAAATATGCTCATTTAATCACTTATGTAAATAAATATAGAACATTACAGCAGTTGTAGATAAAAATGTGTAATTTTGAGGCTTTTTGAAGGATCATGGTGATTCTGGAATGAAGGGAAAATCTTATTTATTTTGTTTCTGTGTCGGACTTCCTGTCAGCATCACATTCTGCTCGATGTTGGCCTGATTTTCTGTTTCTACCTGAATGAAGCCGATAGTCGCTCTTCCCTGCAGGAGCCGGCAGCAGCTGCACAGACGTGTTCATTTGTTAGTCAAACACGCTCCTCTGCTGACGGAGGAGCCGCAGGAGGAGCAGCAGCTCTGCAAACATTTCAGCGCTTGCCGTGTTTGCAGAGCTGCTGCTTTGTTTGCAGTCCAGCTTTTTAAATCAGTTCACGGTAAAGAAATAAAAATCAGGAGCGTTCCTGCAGCTGTTTGCTTCCAGGCACAAAATGACCTTCATTAAATATTCATGTTTCTGTTGTTTATTGTCGAGCACTGAAGCTAAAAACATCCGATCCATTTATAATGGCTTTAAAATCATGCAGACGTTGGTGAGAGAGCAGCTCGCTCTCAGCAGCTCACTGAGTTCCAGCAGCGTCCTTCAGCCTCCAGCTTTCTGCAGTCAGTCACCTCCGACCTTTAGATCAGCTCCATGGAACAGGCCTCCATGGAACAGGCCTCCATGGAACAGGCCTCCATGGAACAGGCCTCCATGGAACAGGCCTCCATGGAACAGGACTCCATGGTGGAGCAGCTGCATCAGCGAAGCATCAGACGCAGGCCTGGAAAGCAGCCGCCGCTGGTGGAGGTGGAGGGGTTGAAAACTTTATTCTTTTTCTCAGATCTTATATGAACATGAAATATTTTGGTTAGTATGAGGTGACTTCATTCTGAAAAAATGAATTTGTTTAGTTATATTTTAGCTGCTGTGCATAACTGATGCTATTTCCCGGCTCCGCCCCTTCATTATAGACAGGTGACTGCAGCACCTGGATTCAATTGTTTATTAGGGAGCTCTAGGTTTCAGGCAGTGCAGCCATAGAGTTTTTGATCTGCCTGTTACGTCTTTCTGCGGTGAGAAATTCTAAGTTAGTTTTTGGATAATAAAGCGTCTAAAAAGGAGAGGAGGAAAGTGTGTTGGATGAATAATCACTGAGAACGACTGACAGCGATGGAGCGCGTCCATCTTGGATGCTTCTGCTTCCTGCGAACCAAAGGTCAAAGGTCCATAGAGACCTGGATGCTGGGAGTCCTGACCTCCTGACCTCTGGGATGAATTAGAGCGCAGACTGAGAGGCAGGCCTTCTCATCCAACATTAGCAGCTGACCTTTCAAATGTGCTGCTGGAAGAATGGTCAAAGATTCCCATAAACCTTCCCAGCTACAAAGGTTGGAGCGCCGTCCTGCTGAACCTCCATGGAGCAGGAATGGGACGTCACTGAGACTCAGATGTCAGTCAAGGCAGGGGGNAGCAGGAATGGGACGTCACTGAGACTCAGATGTCAGTCAAGGCAGGGGGCTGAATACTTAAGACAATATAGTGTAAATCACTGTAGGGTTAGGTAGAGGACCTGTGAGGCTGTGGGCCTGTTTCTCTTCCCAGCGCTACAGGGAGCTGCAGGACCAGCCAGGCTGGAAGAGGATTGGCGTCACGCTTAGAGTAGATGTTGGTCGTTTGTTGCCTGGAATCCATTTCTATCCATTTGAAACGACTGTTTCATCTTCTGCTCCTGCTGGGAGAACCATGACCTGCTGAATAAAAGTTTGCTCAGCTTTTAAAATCCCATTAGCATTAAGGCCCCCCCCCCCCCAGCAGCGTGTTGCAGATATTTTTGATTTCTGCCCAACATTGAAGCGTGGTCTGCACTATGTTATTCCACGCCACAACGCCAGAGGGCCAATCAGGAACTAGCTGTGGGTCTAGATACGGCCGAGGCGGTGAGGAAGGGGGGGCAAGTTTGTGCAACAATGGAGGGACATGAGGGCCAAAAACGGCGGGCTGTCAGTACCCGATCCGTCCTGCGCCATCAGCTCATCCAGATATCCATCAGGGTCGCCATCGATTTTATTGTTACAAAGACCTAAATGACATTTTTCCCTCCCCCAAAAAAAGTAAGCGTACTAAACTATAATGTGTTAAAGGTAAATGATGTATTTCCTGAGAAAATAAATGCATTAAAATCCTTTCTTTTTAACAGGAAATGGATGCTACGCTACATCCAGAAGCTAACTATCAGCTTTGGATTTAAACATAAACCTAGTCTGTTTTCCTGTCATGTTAACATTACGCTATATAGTGCGTAACTTAAAATGCAGATAAATGTGGTTTAATCAGATTTACTGCTCGGATCGTGTCCCATGATGACGTCAGAGAAGCTGGTTAACGGAGAAAATGGAAAAAGCAGCAAAATTGTCTCAGAAAAATCATGAAACATTTTCTAAAGATGTGAACTAACTTTGTTTAGAGAGTTAAAGATAGAAATAAGTAATTTTCGTATCAGGATTACATTATTTATGGCGACCTGGACGTATATCTGTTGGCGCAGGACAGATCGGGTAGCGACACGGGGATCCAGGTGGGAAAAGGCTCCCAGCGTTCTGGCGCTCCTCGCTCTGCTAGCTGCTCCATCTTCACCAGTCGTTTTCCAACATGGCGGTCAGACAAACAAAACAAGCCGGTAAGAAACCAAACAGGAAATACGCATAGAGTAGAGCGGATGGAGAATTGACCAATCAGAGGCCTCCTGTCTGCAGTCACCTGTGATTTTGTAGAGGTGCAGCAGAGTGTCTGCGGAGGGGGCGGGGCATATCTGCGTTCACAGTGATACTGACGCAGACGACCTGGTTTCTGAGCATAAATCAACCTTTAGCATTAAAAACGACACGGATGTTTATTCTTTCCCAATCATTGTTCCTTTAAATCGCTAAAGATAAAGTGATTTATTCAGAAAGGCATAGAAACCGGATCCTCCATGAAGCGGCGGCGTCCCTCAGAGTCCTGTTCTCAGTCTTCTTTCTCTGTGATTGTTTTTAACTGATCGAGCTGGAGGACCGGAGCAGAGAGGACGGAGGACGGACTCTAACTCAGGACACGAATCATTTCTCACTGCTATGAGCCGCCCTATTCCTGTCTCAGCTCCTGCTCCTTCTGTGTCGCCGCAGTCACCAGAGGAATGGCGTCCATCCTGTCTGAGGTGATGATGTACGTCTCCATCATCGGGCTGCAGTTCTGGCTGGTCGTTGAGATGATTTACTGCTACAGGAAGATCTCAGCGGCCGGAGAAGAAGCTCTGAGGGAGAGCGAGTGAGTAAGATGCAGCCTGTCCCCTCCTCAGCCTGTCCCCTCCTCAGCCTGTCCCCTCCTCGTCCTCCCGTTGGGTGGACCAGATGTCCCGACAGCCTCCCCCTGCTTGTTGTTCCCCTCCTGCAGAACCAGCAGTCTGTCCGTCTGAAAGTAGCAGCAGGTTCTGCTCTGATCTTTGCTCTCTGTTCCTCAGGGCCGAGTATTTAGCCATCGCTTCAGAGAGCAAAGACAACTGTGCAGGAGTCCAGGAGGCAGAATAATCCTGGTAGGTCGACTCTTCTTCTCTGCTTCTTTACTTTGGTGCCTGATGGTGAAAAAATGAACCCAGAAACCGAAAGAATTCAATCATTTCAGATTATTAATCTAAACCAGAGAAAAAGTTTCTTCTCTGAACCACTTTGATTTATGAAAGTAACTGACCTCCTCAGCAGTTAGTCAGGATATAAATCCTGGAATGAAACCTCAGTTATTCTGCAGCAGTTCTCTGTTTGTTCTGCAGGTTAAAGAAGGAGGCCCCTCCCTGAGGAACCCGCCTCCTACAGCCTCCCCTCCTCCCCCCTACATGATAGAAATCCTGATACCTGGAAGCAGAAACAGACTCAGCTTGAAGAAGCTGCTGAGCTGCGAGGAGCAGAAGGAAGCATGAAGTTCCCCAGGAGGAGATCTGAGGACTGCGTCCCGCTGGGTTCCCCATCCCTGCATGCTGAGGAGCATCGCTCATGTTCTCTCACTTTTCTTCACGAACCAGTTGTTCATCTGCAGGTTTAAGTTTCTGTCAGGAAAATCCAAGGACGAGATTTAAAACTAAAGCAACAACAAATCAGAAAACAAACATCTTGTTGGAGAGCAGGGCTGCAGCAGCTTCCTGCCAGAAGTTCAGAACTTCTCCCTGAAAGTCTTTCATATAAAAAACAAAATAATCCTGGTTCGGATTTTTTCTGCAGGTTTTCCTTTAAAAAGGAGAGAGAAGAAAAAATCCCTAAAAAGTAGAGAAATCCTCCATTAATCACCATCAAAGCAAAACGCCTCTGCATGTTCATCTAAGGTGCTGCAGCAGCGACACCCAGTGGACAAATAAATCATTGAACAATAATTGGAAGCTTCAGTCGACAGATCAAACAGTTCCTGCATCTTCAAAACATTGAATTTATTTAGAGAAATGAAGTTGATGGAGCAGCAAGAAGGTTCTGGGTTCGATTCCCGGCCCGGTGTCTTTCTGCATAGAGTCTGCATGTTCTCCCTGAG